TCCATTTCAATTTCCCCACCACAACTTAATGTTAGAAGTTATGCAGGACAACTTTCCAGGATTTTGTACCTAACAGTTTTGCTCAACTTGACAATTTTACTAGTTCAAAGCATTTACATCTTATCCAGCATCAACAAGTACTTCAACTAGTAAAAAGGTCATATGAATTCACAGGACATCAGAGAATGATACAAGTGTATCAGGAAGAATGTCATATTTTAAATAGGATTCTAAATTTTTCATTAAGACAACCCCCCAACAAAAAAAAAAAAAAAAAAAAAACCCTCATGTGAACAGCCAATTTTTTTTTTTTTAATAAATAAATATGCATGAATCAGTGCTGAACATCCTTAGCCCAACCATTAAAGGATTTCCTGCAGTACTGGTTTTTCCAACCAGGTTTTTTTTTTTTTTTTTTTAATTATGCTCACCCCAAGCAAGGCAACAAAGTCACTAAGACAGGGGGGGGGATTACTGGATGTAAAGGTATAAAACAGAAACATTACTAAGAATCAATAACAAAAGAAAAGTAATATGTAAAAACCATTATATATATATATATATATATATATATATATATATATATGTGTGTGTATGTATGTGTGTGGTTGCAATAAAGTCATAATACAGTTGCTTACAAGACAAAGCAATTAACAGTTCAGAAATTCATTAAAATCGTTCTGGTTAATAAAATGCTATGGTAAACAATAGTAAATTACCAATATTGTCCGAACTGCAAGCCACCTACTTCAATGCTTTGCTATTTTATTATAAGTAACTGTGTAGTGACTTTATTACAACCATATGTATGTGTACATATATATATATATATATATTATATATATACACACACAAAAACAAAAAAGCTTTTCTGGGGTTTTTTTTTTTCTCTCTCATTAGACATTTTTATAGGTTTGTATTATTTTAACTTGTTCACTGAATAGAAAAACAAAAAGAGCATACTTATATAAGTTGACCTTTTGGTCATATTCTGAGTATTGCTGTTACTTACATCTGGCCTGGTGTTTCCACTATCTAGAGACTCTTGACAAAATCCAAAGAATCTGTAATGTTGCTGGTCCTGACCTGGCATAAGTCACTTTCACCACAACCATAACTTTGGTTCTCTGTGTCTTTTCTATAAATATTTTCATGGTAATTGTTTGAATGACCTTTCCACTTTGGCATTTTGACTATGAATTTAAGTTCAGTACTTGACTGGCAATTAGGTCTCATAATTTTACTGTTGAAATTGCTAATTGTAACCAAAAGTTACATGTTAATATTTTCTTCTCCCAGTTTCTTGCCTTCCTCTAAACTACAATCTTCAAAGATTTTAAATGCAGCATAATTCTCTTTAGATCTTGTTCTTTTATTGGCTTTTTTCCATCACTATCAGAAACCCTCCAGTCTCCTTGCAACTTTTATAGCCTTGTCTGGAATTAAATGATTAAAAAAAGTAAACACTCAAAAAGTAATGTTTTCATCCAAACTTTAATCATTCCTGAATTTTGTTCAATGTATACCAGTTCCTTAAGTATTTTTTTAAAAAATTGTTTATTATGGAGGAGGGAGAGGAATACAAGCGCCCCAATTCGAGAAACCAATTTTAGCATTCTCGAAGCAGTGGAAACTTGAGCATTTTTCTACTTCAGATTTTTTGTAAACAAAATCCCCAGCATTTGTATTTTTTTTTTAAGATCAACAATGACATCTAGAAGAATGATATTTGTACAAGAAACAGATTGCCAAAGAAATTTCAGAGATTTTATTAGAAAAAGTATAATTCCTTTATTTGGATATTTTAAAATGTGAGACTTTGAAATAAAACCTACCAGCTTTGATGATTTATACAACCAACTCCCCCACCCATCTCATACCAGAATTTTATATATTTAGGATAAATGCAGTGATTTTTTTTTTTTTTTTTTTTTTAAATTAGGTCCAATAAGGAACATGAACAAAGTTTCAGTAGCATTCTATGAACCATCCAACAAGATTTTAAAATCTTTACTGCCAAAATGTGCTAGTGGTTTTATGTGTTATCAATTGCAGTATTTTCAGCCAGTTGGAGTCAAGTTATCCTTCCTGCATAACATATTTTGGTCTTTTAAACTAAAAGACCAAAAATATTTAAGTAAAATAACAAGTGCATTACCAAACTGAGGACAGCCAAATTCTCTTGGTTATTTGCGTGCATTTTTGGGGGGGAGGGGGTGCTAACAAAATGAGTGAAAGATAAAATAAAAATAAAATTAAGGTCGATTCATAATCTCCATATACTGGCATACCGAGGTGATACAGCATGTTAAATTCCAGACCATCTGAGTGTGCTGGCCTTATTCAGATTGTTGATCACACTAGATAACATGCTCTCTCCCAGAAACTCTAAGGTTTACTCAGCATAGTTGCAATATAAACCAGAGGTGAGCTCTGTGGGTGTTGAACAAACACAAATATGGCCGAGCGAGTGTCTGAATTAGGGATATGAACCAAAATCCGATAGGATAAAATAAAAGAAGAAATAGGAAAAGTATATCAATCTAACACATTTCACTTTTATTACATTTTCGTCAGACAAAAAAACAAAAAAAAAAACAAAAAAAAACACCCAGATATTTATAATTATGTCCGAGTCAGTACTCATTGGCCAGACGTGTATTAAAACTGCAGATAATTCTGTGTACATAGGTTTGTGAAGAATTTTGTATGTTTAAGTGTGTAACAAATGGCAATGTGTATTTGTAATTGAGTGCACTTGCTTGTCTCGTAGGGATTTTTATCTTGCCTTTTGTGTGACCCAACCTCACAGCGAAAAGTAACAGGGTTCTGATGTTATGGTTGGTTTTATTTCTGTTTTTAGAAATGTATTCTTTGTATTAGATTGATTCTTTAAAAATTGAATTAAAAAAAAAAAAAAAATTAATTGATTTACCTGTGGAGTTACACAGCCCTTTTTAAAACACCCATCAGATATCTACCTTTATTACAAGACACACTTTTACAGTTAAAATATATTTAATCAATCATGTAAACAAAAAGAAGTAAATATTGTACCAGTATTTTTTATATAGAGTCAGCCCACAAAAAAAAAAAAAAAAAAAAAAAAAAAATGTTACAGTGTTTATTTATATATCAAGTTACAGTTTTAAGATTCATTCAGAACTGAATCCCAAGAAATTTTCACTATCATTGCTATCAAATAATTCAGATTTGTTCATCAGTTAATACGGTTCTGGTTCTTATTGAAAGTCTCGATTCGACGGGGACTATACTTCGATAGGGACAATACCATGCTGCTCTTTGATTTCGCCATTTATTTAAGCTGATCTTTCTGCTTTCTCCATCCTATGACAACCTTTTCTGAAGCTTCAAACTGTCTTTCTGCTCATCAATTTCATTGGTGTCCTGCATAATTTAGTACTTTTAATTTAAAACCTGCTCATGATTAGGGTTTGCAACAATTAAAATTATAAACTATAAATTTGGCTACCAACTATATCACTGCCCAATGCAAAATAGTGCAAATGTTTTTTGGGTACTAGATTCATGCACTGTTATTTGTAAATAACACTTAAGAATTCCTCTTAATGTTATATGAAACAGCCATTAAAGAAAATTATCCCATAAAGAATATATTTCATTTCTTTATATCATATTTTCCAATGCATTTTTGACAAATATACATTTATTTTGCAGAATGAATCTTAAGACTATTTTTTCTTTGTCAATATATATCTACACATGCGTTTCCTTATGTATGCATGTTCAGGGTTTCTATATTAGTCTAGTGCAAGGGCCCCAACCGAACAGTGACTGATGGATCAATGAATATTTTATAATTTTATTTATTTATGATGGATGTGAATCTAGCAGCAGGACGTAAGTTTGAAGCAGTAAGTCATTAAATATGATAAATTGTTTCTCTACAGAGAAAAACCACAGCTTTAGTGTTTATGAGCATCATTTCAGATTTCTCAGAAATCATAACAAGGAAGTGTGGTTTTATATTTATGTCAAGCAGATAGGCCACAACCCTAATATTTTGTGAGACTTTGAGTATAAAAAAAAAAGTGCAACCTATCTGTGTGTGTGTGTGTGTGTGTGTGTGTGTGTGTGTGTGTGTGTGTGTATATATATAAAAAAACTTAATTCATCACTACCAATGTAACAGCAGGTGAGCAAATGCAGCTTGCAAAATGGTGCCATCTGTCCTGTTAACTGACAGACTTCAACTTCTAAGTAAACAATATCTACAGATTGCAAAAAGCCAAGATATGCCTGGATTATATTTTTAATATCCATCAAGAAAGACTTCATGTTCATAATTTACTGATTTGGGGGGGAGGGGGGGGAGGGGGTTATAATAACTCATAAAAGCAAACATATTCCAACAATCTTCTTACATTCTCTACAACAACCTTACAGTGATTTTCAACAGTCTGACTTTTTTCTTTTAAGAGCAAAGAAAAATATCAAATTTCTTGGACTCAAAATAATGTTTGTCATGACAAAGCAACAAAACTAATTTTAACAATACCAATATTCAACAGTAGACTATTGCAAAACAACAGTGTCAAAGTAATTGATAAAAAGATAAAAAATGTATTCTTGTTGAGTGCAATTTTATTCTAATAAGCCAACTGAAAAGTGTAGCAAACATTTATAGCTTGAAAAGAGATCTTGTTGGATTGCATGAGTGGCACAAGGGCACAAGAAGTGAGGAGTGGCACAAGAAGTGAACTGGCGGAACAATATTGGAAGCTGCTGGGAAATTTTCAAAAAATATATAAGAAAAAAAAAAAAAAAAAAAAATTTAAATACCATACTTGGATCCAGTATTTTGAAATTTTTTTTTTTTTTTTTTTAATTGCTGAATGGATATTTTTAAATGGAGGTGGTTCTGTTGGGATGCCCATAGGGGTATAAAATAAAGTGTGAGGAAAAAAAAAAAGTCAACTGAAAATGTAGACAGGAATATTGGCTAAAAAGGTTCTTACCCATGGAATCTGCTGACAGCATTAATAATCCTGCTTCTCATTTCTTCAAACTTGACATTCTCTACATTTGGAGACAGGGGTAAATGGTCAGCAGGATATTCCTCATTAAACTGTTGCATTACAGAATCCAGTTTCTTTACAAACAGTGGCTTTAAGCGTGTCCATGGAAACCTGAAACAACAAGTTTGATATCAAATAACGAAATTGATAAAAGAAAGAAAAGACATATCAATGTTTCATCATTTACACTAAGAATGTGGAATGCTAATTCTATCTTAATTTCCATGTTAGAATTTACAAAGTTTGACAGTATTTAAGAACTAAGGTGCATTAAACTTACAAGGTCTTCTATGCTTCATAACTATTGATGGCGATTTCTTTTGTATATGTAAATCAAAGCTTCACATATACCAAGTCTAGAATTTTAATATTTATCTAATATTAATTTAGATTGTGATATGTTGATCAATGTGCATACAAATTGCACCAAGTCCTGATAAGTGTCATGTTAGTATACAAGAGTGTGTGGTGGTTTTATAACCAATAGGAATTGGAGAATTTTTGAGAAGTCAAGCTGGAGAGCCAATCTCCTGAATGGCACTAGAATTCTTATGCTTTTTCTATAATGGTGATTTTTGAAGTCGTATTTTATTAGTAATTATTACATTAGATTTTTTTTTCTACATATTATAAGTGAACATCATGAACTTAATGACTCTTACGATATTTTAGTATTTTAATATTCTACTTTATGGAAAAAGACATACACAAGGATAAATTTTTTGTCTACATAATTATGAGAGTTCCTCAAAATAAAACCTGTTTTAAAAGAACCAACCAAGCTAATTTCTTCAAATATTTCACAAGATATCCTAAACCATCTTTGATGAGCAAATAAAATTACCTCAAGGAAAGAAAAAAAAAAAAAAAAAAAAAAAGGGATGCATGTAGGTAAACAAGAGAATAAAAATGTTTTAACATGAATTTATTTTCACATACCTACATGCCCCGTAAGGTTATATATATATATATATATATATATATATATATATATATATAATGCATAGCTCTCCAACAATGAATTGAGTCTTCTTAGCTACTGGTGTTTGTATACATCATGTATATAATACATTAAAAATTTCCCTTTCCCTGCCATGTGCCAATAGCATAGGGATAGAACCTTTGATGTCAAACCTGTCAAGTTTCAATCTCAGCTTGAAACAATTTGATGTCTAGCCACACTGAGTGGCTGTGATACAGCTAAACAGGCTTATATGCGGATGGTATATATATATTGCAACAATACTCCAAGCAGAAAGTCATCATCCGATGTTTTGCAGTTTAACTCACACATATTTTGATAAAGTACAATGAGTACCTCATCCTGCAGGACAGTGAATAAAAAAAAAAAAAAAAAAAAAAAAAAAAAAAAAGAAAAAATGCAAATTTTAAATTTGCTTACAGATGTTCAGCAACAGTTAAATATGAATTATCACTGCAAGTTAAATAAAAGGTCTTCAATTTTATGTAAAACATTCAATCACTAATAAGTTTTACTGTCTAAAACAAATTCATCACAACTAAAATGAATCAAAAAGTGTTTTATTTTTAAAAAAAAAAAAAAAAAAAAAAAATAAAGATAAATTTTAGAAAACTTTACCTTTTTTTTTTTTTTTTTTAAATATTAGGAAATAAAGCCAATTTCATCCTTTTATAAAGGTATGAGATTTGATGTTTACAAAGCATTAAGATTAAAAAATCATAAGGATGAGAACTGTAAATGTCTTTTTTGTGCATGGGATTGATTTTTCAGTTTACTGGAAGAAATTATACAGGGTTTATTTTTAAAATATTAAAACAAATATTAATAAAAGTGGAAAAAACTATAGCTTAATCATGGCAGATATAAATATCTATTTTTAACTTTTTCTATGTACTTCTACTTATAAAGCTTGCATCTCAAACATTTTTTTCAGGAAACTTCAAATAAAAGCTTCTTTATTTTTATAAGTAAATAAAAAAAATGAAAATCTGTTTCAAAAGCTATAAAATTTTAATACATGAATTTTGCAGAAACAAATCTAAGTTTCATAAAAAGAATGTTTACTTTTCTTTTTTTAAGTCTTGTTATAGAGAAAAAAAAAAAAAAAGAAAGATTTGTTTACATAGTATGCCATGTAAACAAAAATAAACCTTTTCAATAACCAAAACTAAAGGATTTCTAAGGAATAAAGCTATTATAAAAACAGATTGCAATTTAACTGCCTCACCAGAAGGACAATTTGTGACAAGGTCAATTTCTTTTATGTTAAGAAAAAAAAAAAAAAAAAAAAACACACACAAATGTGACTTTGGTGGTAATTTTTATATATTATATATTTTTTTTTTTTTTTTTTTTTTTTTAAATAAAAGTAGTATTAAAAGTCCCTGGCAAGATCAACGTGAATTCATTTTACATTTAAATTACATAACCAATTACAATTATTAAATTAATAAGTTATATTAAATAGGTGAATTAATGTTTAAAAAGAAATTAAAAATAAAGATTTTATTTTAAACTGAAAGACTTTTATGGAAAGTTAGAGTAGAAACTTGCACATTTTTTTTTTTTTTTAGCCAAGTAGATGCTTACATTCATGCATAAACATTCAATGATACTAGTTTCACACACGTAGTCAAGTCATTTTTTTGTGAAAAAAAAAAAAAAAAAAAAAAAAAACATTTTTATAACCACCACCTCCCACCTAAATAAAAATAAACTAAATGTCATATATAGAAAGTGCTCCTTCTGGTGTAAGTGGTGTTTCTGTTCGGAAAAAAAAAAAAAAAAAAATGATTACTAAAATTCTCCAAAAGAGTATTGCTTTTAACTAACAAATGTAAAGAGGCTGAAATTTTAATTTCTTAAAATCTTATAGAATTAAGTGTTTGTGGATTTTTATCAGATAAAAAAAAAAAATATTTGACAAGATTTCCTAAAAAGAATGATTACATTCATTTGTGAATAAGTCCTGAAAGTTACATTAAAATCTGATTTTTGCAAGATTTTTCAAACCAATGTTTTTGTTTTTTACTGGAGAGAGGGGGGGGGCACTAAACTACACATAGTAATCTTTGTCCCACCACTGATGCATATATATTAAAAAAAAAAAAAAATTTACCCAAAATTTATAACATGCTTGAAACAAATTTAAAAAATACTTTTATTTTTCCTCTTAATAATAACAAACATTTAGCTAAAAATGTTTTTTTATCAAGTTTGGGACCTTTTTTTCTTTCATGGTATGCACTTTTTAGTGGGAGGTACCTACTTAAAAGGTGCCATTTTATATCAATTTAAAAATCAAATGTTAATTAGTGTGTGTGTGTGTGTGTGCATATATATATATATATATATATTTTCCACTTGATGAGGAAAAGAATGTATAACAAATATGATGTTTAGGCAGATTTAGGAAAGTGAGTCAAATCAAGCCCCTCTCCTCATGCCATAAACAGCACTGGTGATAAATCAAATGCTTTCCTTTCTTTGACAGACATTTGCCCAATTATCAAAACTTGAAATTTCAGTTCCCACTTCACAAGCAAAGTGGATTATTTGAATAATAATAACAATTAAAGTGAAAACAATTAGTGCAGTTAAATAAAGGACTGGCTTCCAACAGTGACAGCATCAATTTAACATTAGACAATAATGAAAAAGTTTTTGAGTCAAGTATTTAACCAAAATAAGAATGGAGTGAACAATGACAAGAGGAGGAGGGGTGGCCCTTATTATGACAAAAATATACAAGAGGAGATGTCTGGAAATTTTCCAGCTTAACCAAAAAGTAATACCAAAATAAATTCTCATGCTCAGCTATTTGGTCAGAGGCTCTTAAGTGGGTCAAGTGTAAAATTTTTCAGTGGATGTGTGTGTGTGTGTGTGTGTGTGTGTGTGTGTGCAATATGCAATATTTGATTTTTTTTTTTTGTTGAAATTAAATATTGCACTTCAATGAAAAGCAAAATAGACAATTTGCAATCAGGGTAATAAAGATTTCATTAATCTATATAAGTGATGGGATGAATAATCAGAATCGGAAATACTGGAACTTGTTGCAGTATTGAAATTGACATTTGAGAATTTTTCACCTAGTTTCTGATTCCAAAAATGATTCTTTGGACTTTTTTTTTTTGCACTTAAAGCTTAAATTTTTCATTCTTGGTACTAATGATAAAAAGATAAATATTTATTGATTTTAAACTATCAGTAAAACTAAAATCTATAGATTGTAATAACACCTAAGTATGATGTAAATTTATTTTACTTGAAAAAAAAAATAAAAAAATAAAAAAAATAAATAAAAAAAATCTTATCAAATTCAAATTTTCAACTATTCTTAAATTGAAATTAAAAAACAAAATTCCATATAACTAATGTTCAGAAAATGATTTGATTAAATCTGACAGATTTATTTTTGTTTACATACAACATAGATACTACATAAACAAAATCTTTTTCATAACAGAGACTTAAAGTAAACATTTTTATGAAACTTATATTTCTTTCTATGAAATTCATGTATTTCTCAAAATGTTATAGCTTTCAAAATGACTATAAGAGACAGTACAGCAATTTAATATTTCGCATAGTAAAATTAATGTTCTTATAAGAAATAATGTGGCTAATATGGCAGCAGCTGTACAAGTTTAATAAAAGTCATTATCTTGTTTTCTACACACCTTGCAGTTGACCATTAACAATACCACTTTTATAAAGATAGGCAAAGGATATGATATTTGTAAACAAATAGTTGGACACTTCAATCACTAACCTTCAGCTTCTGCAAAGTACCAGGAAATACAAGAAAAAAAAAAAATTTAAACCAGATCATAAATTCACTCAGGATGTCCAGACAAGATGGAACAGTCAGCATTAATGCAAAATCACATTGTTTAGAATCCAACTAATGGAAGATTTTAGAGAAATTACTGAAAATTTCTAAACAATTCATTGATTGTACAAATTTATTAAGTAATAGAGAAGCAACTACCTCTTACACCACACATGAAAGTTATTTATCACTTTTTTTTTTTTTTATAAGGGGGCAAAGAAAAGGGACTGTTTGATGGGTTAGGTTCAACCCTTTCAGCACGGAAAGGATTTTTTATGCTAGATTTAGCAGATA